CTGACATTTTTGTATCGCATTGCGAAATTCCCCGCAAAATAGCGGGTAATTAGCCAAACTTCTGGGCTCTGGTAATTGATTCCGCGAACTTTTCCTGGTGAGCCAATGGAGCTTATAATTTGGGAGATTAAATGCAGTGATTTTAATCGAATGTTAAGTTAGCTCCAAAATCGAAGAATTTGGCAAATCAAGCTTAGGTTTTATTCAAAGTCAAGAAATATATAAAATGTTCAAAAAGTGTAATAAATTCGTATATTAAGGATCAGTAAAATATACCAGAACTCTGTAACAATAAGAACACCGCACGCTTAATAGCTTAATTTTAGATCTACTTAAGAGTCTATTTCTTCCTCTTCTTCTTCTTCTTCGTTTAAGTTACTGCCACTTTACTTTTGGTTTACGAAGTTTTTCTTAATCATAGTACATACTTTAAACAATTAAAATGATGCTAGGTTAATTTTATATGCATGTTAGTGACATTTTGTCAAGGTTTTAATAAGACTCCCTAATATAATATTTTAATTTGAAAAGGTAATCAATTGCAGATTAATATTTTTAAATGATCAAAACTCTAACTCAGTTTATTCTAGAAAATTTGAAGCTTTGTAAACTCAACAAGGTTTTCTGAAAAACTTGAGGACAAGCACACACATTTTGTTTGCCTGCGTGGGAGATAATTGACAAACGCTCTTGCCCTTTAACCGGTTTTGTTTGTGTTTGCCTTCTCAATTTGCCGCAAAGTAGTTGGCGCCCGGAAGAGGACACAGGTTGAAAAAGAGGCGGAGGTGAAAATTTCTTTAACGAACTCAAATTCCGTGAAGCTTTTGAGTTGGCCAGAAATTAACTCACTCGCTTACACTGTCCCACAGAGAGTCAAAGCCAAAAGCCGGTGCAGAAATGCAGCAAAAAATACTTGGCTTTGATTCCTTGGCCCTTCTCTTTCCCTTTTCCTTTCCCTTTTCCAGTCTCTGTCCCTCTGCTCCGGTTCGTTTTTCTTGTGTTTTATCTTCCCGGCTCTTCCATGGCATTCATTATGCCAGGATCCCGCCTCATTCCGCACCAACTGGCCCCTCGATTCGCCTTCATTTATCACAGTTTGTGCGCATTTGTCGAGTCGCCTTATCCCGAGTGGGTGGCCTAACATCCGCTGCCGCTTTGACAGCCCCGAGATCCCCGGGGAAAACCCCGAGACACAAACGAGAATTTCCCCGGGAGGGAGTGGCAAGTGGCAAGTGAGTGAGGCAAGTTGTCAAAGGGAACGCTCGGCGGAAAAATGTCTTTTAATTAGTGTTTAATTGAATTGCAAACTGGAATTTTAATCGAAAATTGCAGCGGGTCGACTTTTCCGCCCCGTTTGCTCCCAAAGTTTGCATTGTCCACTGAGCTAAATGGTCTGTTTGCTTTGCCAACTCGGCCTGGCCATTGATAGCCCAAAAGTCACTTGCGGCCATCACCCAAGATTGTCAATGGACTGCGGTTAGATTTCGAAGGAGATACAATTAGGAACTTCGGCAAGCGGCGATGAATTTCTGTGGGTGGAACTCAGCTTAAATCTGAGGAGAAAGTTGCTGTGTTTCCTGATTTAAATTATTTTATCGAACAACTTTGACATTTCAAGACATAAACTAAAACTAAATAAATGTTTTTTTATATATGATTTAATTTAATTGTGATATAACTCATTTTAGGTTGAAAATTTTAATAAATTGTTACTCAAATATAAAAGCATAAACAACTAATTATATTTAAAGGATAAGAAATTTATTATTTAATAGGCAGAGAAAAACAAATAGATTTTTCCGTTTTAAGCATTTTGTTCTTTAATTAGATATACTACTTAAAATTACAAATAATTGATCAAGCGACATTATCGTCGTTTATCCTTAAAAGCAAAGGTACGCAGTCTGAAAAGCTCCACTTTACGTTCACCCGGTGCTCATCTGTCCCTTCAACTGCAGAGCAAATTGCTGGGCACCACATGCCCGCCTTGGTTAATTGATTATAATTACATACATGTCCTAATGCAATTCATCAAACGCGCATTGTCCCCGGATCTCCAGACCTCCGTGCCCCCGCTTCGTCTTCCCAGTTCTCCAGTTGCCCTGGTCTTCAGGTGTACGGGTGTACGAGTGTACGGGTCTCCGGGCCTCCGGCGGAACGCCCTGCACGCCTTTGACGACAATAATGAGCATAATGATGCTGCGGGGCTGCAGGCCATGCGGATGCTGCTGTTAATGCCACAATAAAGACCGCAGCATGGATGCCGATGGCCCGAGGAGCGCTGGCTGGCTCTGGCTCACGTACAAATTGCATGATTACTATCAGGGATAATTAATGTTGATGCCAGCGAGACTCAAACATGTTGCCCGATGGCGGACGACGGTCGACGGACGGTTCGACAAAAGGCCACCTCGGCCGGGAAGTTCTGCCAACTTAAGGCCTTGGGCCACATGCTGGCTTAGACCGTTGATATGGGGCTTCGAGTCTGGTGGTTGTCAAATGCAGCCAGTCGATCAAGCCAACCCGGTTTCGAGTTTTAATGAAACTACAACTTTGATGTCGGGCGCAGGTTTTTGGTGGGAAACTAGAAACTGGATTAAAAGCCGCCCGCTGGCAACAATTAATGTAAATCAATTCGAAACACATAATGCCACTGCATAAATGCCAAATCATGGCAATACGTGAGCATTCTGCGGCTTAGTCATGTCCCAAATACTTGCAAATGCCAATTGAATCGAGCAAATTATCAGATGATGTAAAGGGCGGGAACGGGAGGAAAAGAGAGTGCCGGCGCACACAATTCTCAAATTGTTTGGCTCGAACGCCGCACAAAACCGTATGTAATGTAATCAAACGCATTGAAGTTAATGAGCTACTTAACCGACTTCCACTTCCGACCTGCCACTGAATCCCAGCCACTGCGGCATGTGCGTCTGCGGTGGGGCATATAATTATGGGATGCCTTGAATTGGGTCGAGAACCCTAGCCGACCACAAATGCCCGCTGAGCCGGTGGGCTTAGGCTTTTATAACCAGGCAAGGCATTATCGCTTTCACTCAGCTTTAAATCATACTCTGCTGGTCCGAAATCTTGTTTATTACCCAATTATTAAATGACTCGATTCGAGTAAAGGTATCCTTTTACACTCAGTGACATTGCAATTGTGCTATGGTTTTATCCATCCAATTAGCATAAGCTATCCAGGTTTGCATACTCCACCAAATTGAAATACATAAAACCAGCTGTCAACGATTTTACATAAATTACCTTAAAACAAGAAAGGAAGCTAGCTTCGGCAAGCCGAAGCTTATATACCCTTGCAGTCAGCAAATATTTCAAACAGAATACACAAAGCCTAAACAACATCGAAGCAACGACAACTTTTCTATTAATTTTTCATATTTTTGAATATTGTTTATATGTCAGCTACATGATATAGTCGTCCGATTTTGCTGAAATTGTATTTGTTATTCAAGAGTCGTTAGAAAACTCTATATTCCAAAAATCATGATTTTCTGATGAGAAATAAGGATGTTATCATTTTATTTCCGTTAATTCTATATAGATTTTCCGATCTTTCCTATAGCAGCTATATGATATAGTTGTCCGATTTTTATGAAATTTTTTTTATGAACCAAGGCTAGTTAATAAACTTGATACTCAAAAAATCATAGTCGTGTGATGAAAAACAATGACGTAATCAACTAATTTCCTTTAATTCTATATATATTTTTTGATCTCTCCTATGGCAGCTATATGATAGAGTTATCCGATTTCGATAAAATTTAACCCGAAACTCAATAGTAACTAGAAAACGCCATGTGGAAGAAATCAAGTCGATCTGATCAAAAACAATGGCCTGAGAATTTTGTAATTCAATCTCTTGTATGGGAGCTATCCTATATAGTCGCCCGATCCGGGCCGTTCCGACTTATATACTGCGTGCAATAACTACACACCTTTTGGGAAAGTTTCAGCAAGATAGCTTTAAAACTGAGAGACTAGTTTGGGCAGAAACGGACAGGAGGACAGACGGACAGACGGACAGACGGACAGACAGACAGACGGACAGACGGACAGACGTACAGACGTATTTCGATTCAGATGGAATAAGACAAGCTAGTAGCATACTATACTGGGTCAATCATTTAAAATTCATTTTTTATATTGTTTTAAATTTTCGCCACTTATTCTTGAGCTATGAAATTCACTTTCAAATGATCTGTTATATTTGACCAGTTTTTATACCAAAACGAGAAAGGAAGCTAGCTTCGGCCACCCGAAGCTTATATACCCTTGTAGTCATCAAATATGTCAAACAAAATATATAAAGGTTAAACATCATCGAAGCTAAGACGATTTTTCTACTAATTATCCATATATTCGACTATTGTTCATATGGCAGCTATATGATATAGTTGTCCGATTTTTATAAAATTTAATTCGTAATTCAAGAGTCGTTAGAAAACTCTATATTCCAAAAAGCAACAACGATGTAATAATTTTATTTCCGTTATTTCTATATAGATTTTTCGATCTTTCCTATGGCTATATGAACGCCATCTAGAAGAAATCAAGTCGATCTGATTAAAAACAACGGCGTTAGAATTTTGTAATTCAATCTCTTGTATGGGAGCTATCCTATATAGTCGCCCGATCCGGGCCGTTCCGACTTATATACTGCGTGCAATAACTACACACCTTTTGGGAAAGTTTCAGCAAGATAGCTTTAAAACTGAGAGACTAGTTTGGGCAGAAACGGACAGGAGGACAGACGGATAGACGGACAGACGGACAGACGGACAGACGGACAGACAGACAGACGGACAGACGGACAGACGGACAGACGTACAGACGAATTTCGATTCAGATGGTGATGCTGATCAAGAATATATATACTTTATGGGGTCTAAGGTGTCTCCTTCACTGCGTTGCAAACTTCTGGCCAAAATTATAATACCCTTTGCTCTGCAAGGGTATAAAAAAGAAATCAGTAACGATAGCTTTCACAAGTCGTCATTTTAATTAAATTCGTCATTTTAATTTAGATCCAAATGCAAGTTTATGCAATGGGCCAACAGATCTTTGTCTTTCTTCGATGGGAACAACCAGCCCAAGAATTCGACTAAAACTGGCTGCTGTATGACGACAGTGGAATAGTCCTCATAAGAAATAACGCCGTCCCTGTCCAGATCGAACTTTTTCATTAGGAACTCAGTCATATCCTTAAAGAGAAAATAAAATGATTTAGGCCGCGCTCATTAATGAAATATATCTTATTTAGGGCCCTCTAAGAACTGCGATTGTTTTGCAATTTAAGTGTTTTATAAAAAACGAAATACAATTTTTAACAAAGTTCTCCTTCGTAATACTCACCGCCTTAAGTTCGTTAATTTCATCTTCGTCGTCCCCGACAAAAAAGGTATCACATGCCCTGCCGACTTGTTCTCGATCAATAACGCCGGTTCCCTTCGTGTCGTACACCTGTAAAAACATCACTTAAGGCTATTTCCTGTGTAAGTATCCACTCGTTCTCACCTCGAAGGCAAATTTCATTCGCACGTGGATGTCGCTGGTTGTGTAGAGATAAAAAAGGTTAATCCATGCCTGGGGACTCACGAATTTCGTGTCCTTTGTGATGGCCAGAAGAGTGCGTTCAATGATCTGCCTACTTGCAACGTTAAACAACACCAAATATATTTCGAAGAACTGCTTATTGGTCATTTTCCTAGCATTGGGCCCATTGGCTTTGCAGAACTTGTAATAAACAAGGAGTAAACAGGTGATTTCCATCTGGGACATCTCCGAATTAGCGGACAACTCCTTGATCAAACCGCCATAGAGAGCGGCGAATCGACTGTTCTCCATGTTACCAATGGTGGTATCTAGATTTTCCATGACTTGTTCTTGTTAACGAGCTCTGTTATTTTGTCTTAGCTTTTTGCAGCTTTCAGTTTTTTTTGTTTGCTTTGAATATTAATACAGTTTTTTTTTATTTTTATGTGTTTTCTGTTCTAGTTTTTTGGAGTTGTGATTCAGACGTTTACATTCTATATGACACCATTTTTTTTAGGCCTACTCAATTTTTCAATTAAATTTAAAATATTTTTTTTTTTTAATTATGCTAATAACAGAACTATTTAAAATAATTTAATTTTTTATATAGGGATTATAATTTTATAATAGGACAATATGCAAATCTATATTAAGAATATTCTAAATGGTTATTGTCATTGCTCAAAAATCTTTTTTGTTCTTATGTATAATTTTTAACGCTCACTGAATTAAAATTATGAATAAATTGTTTTAAGAGTACCTAAAAAAAATTTAAGCGATCTAAAACCATATATCAGATACTTGTGACTCAGATACCCAAGTTTAATGGGTATTGCCCCTTTTGTAGATAGTTATTGCAAAAAAATTCGTTTAACCATCCTTGTTAGACATACTATTACATATTCTCACAATATTCTTACATTCCCACAAGCTTTTTATCAAACTTAAACAAACGAAAAACAGAATCAAAATCCAAACACATTTAAACTAATGCAAATTCAGTATTAAATGGATACCCATTAATCACTAATATTGTATTTTTATTGTTTGCTTTAAATAAAATAAGGAATAAAAGAAAATCAGTCACTGGCTCTTTATTAAGGGTTACTATAATTCAGCAGGGAGTCCATATTAATAACATGCGCCATGAGATCCTTTTCGTCCCTGGAGGGAAAAAGCCAGCCCAAGAACTCAACCAAAATGGGCTGCTGGGAGACCACCGAAGAGTAGTCCTCAAAAGAAATAACTCCATCTTTGTCTACATCAAACTTTTTCATAATAAACTCGGTCATATCCTGAAAAACAAAATAATGACATAACTTTTTATTTAAAATAACTTGAGTAGAATCTTACCGCTCGGAGTTCAATAAGTTCGTCCTCGTCATCGCCATCATGAAAGAATTTCTCGCATGCCACGCCCACCTGCTCGCGATCGATAACTCCAGTGCCCTTAGTATCATAGACCTGTGGAAAGGCGAAGTAATTATTTCCTATTTTTTTTTTTGGTGTACCATAACCTACTTCAAAAGCAAATCGCATGCGCCTGTCAAGATCCTCAGTTGTATAGAGATCGAAGAGTTTAACCCACGCCTGCGGACTCACATAATTCGTATCTTTTGTTATGGCTAGAAGAGTACGCTCGATGACCTGAATGTTTGCCACGTTAAACAGCACCAAGAATATCTGGTAAAACTGGCTTTTCTTCATCTGCTTTGCTGTAGGACCGTTAAATTTAACGAACTTGTAGTAAACGCAGATCAAACAGGTGATGTCCAATGTGGACATCTTCGAAGTTGCTGCGATCTCCTTGATAAGACCGCCGTAAATGGCGGCAAATCGACTGTTTTCCATGCTGTTGATAGTAGAGTCTAGGTTCTCCATGTCCTTTCTGTTTCTGTTTCTGTTTTGGCAGTCTTATGTGGGACAAAAAGTGATGTCTATGTAGTTCTTATGATTTGTATATGCGGGTTGTTGTTTGACGTGATATGTTTTTTGTTTGTTTATTTGTTAGAGTTCAATGACAGATGTTTCCCTGTTTTACTGTTCCACGGTAATTGAAAATATTTGGTTGATTGATTCAACGCCGCCCATTTATGCACATTTTTGTATGCAAATTAACATGTTTCCAATTCGGTTTTCGCACAATTTGTCTTGCTTAGGAAATTTATGCTGTAAGCCTCTCCCAAACACTGAACGAAAAATATATCAATCAAAAGTCCATACGAAAATCCAGCCCGACCCGCCTGTAAATCCGCCAACACTTTGCGATGTCAACTTTGGAGGCATTAAGGAGCGTGAATCCATGCAGCTCTTCCCTTTTTTTCGTTAGGCTCTTCCCTCTTATTTTATTGTTATTATGCCGTGTCGAGCGGTTTAGCCGCCTCCTCATTTCTCTGGAATTTCTGAGGGCGTGGCATGTGTGGGTGTGTGGGAGTGTGGGAGTGTGTAGGAGTGTGTGGGGAACACATACAAAGGGAGATTCCGAACATTTGTTACCCCAAACAAAATGGCTACACAGCCATTTCCGCCGAATTTCCACATGGAAGGCTTTACACCCATCTCGGCGCTTTTGTTTGGATTATTATATTCGCGTTTCTCATGCGCACAGCTTTCAGCTTGTGCCTCCTCCTTTGTGTACGCCGGGTTTGTTTCAAATATTTATTCGAAATGGGGGACAGATGTAGTCCATGTAGCGTGGCTGATGTATTTTTTATGTCGCGGCGCTGTTATATTGCTTTTAAATTGCGCTCGTTACATTCTTTGGAGGCCCTCGGATTCCTGCTAAGACTTACCCAATCTATTTGCAATTTGTCTTGCATAACCCGCACACTTTTAAGTAGGCTTTTGCCCCAAACGTTACTCATTTTCAGCACATCCCCCACACACAACACACCACCTCAGCACCCACCAAAACTAACAAAAAAATACTGTTGTAATTGTTTAAGAAACCACCAAAATGAACCGCATCGATCTCACCCTGGATGACATGGCCAACACCAAGTTCCTCACGATGTACAACAGTCTGATCAAGAGCTTCACCGCCTCCACGGATTTCTCCTCCAACGAGGTGGTCAGCCTCCTAATTGTCTTCTACAAGTACGCCCTCAACAACGGATCCCGCTCGATGTCCACCCGCCAGCTGTACAACCTGTTCCTCGTCAGCTTTGGGATCTTCGACGTTTCCATCATCGACCGCATTTCGATGAACATCACGCAGGACGGCCGATCAGTTTCTCCCGAGGCTTGGATGCGGCTGTTCTCTGTGTTCTTCACCGGAAATTTGCAGGAGAGGATGAAATTTGCTTTTGAGGTGGTGAAGCTTACATTAATATCCTTTTAATCGTTTAGTCGAGTTTAAGCCATTTAGTACAAATTACCCTTAAACATAGTTATTGAAAGGATTGCCTAACGATTTAAAGTAGGTTTTTCAATTTTAAATTCTTATAATTAGAATACCAAGTTTACAACTAAACTGAACTTGAACTTAAAATGTTCTTCAATATTATTAATAAAACTAATACTTTTACCGTCCTCTTAAATTAACGTAGGTTTACACAAGTGCTGGAACAATGTCACTAAATCGTGAGGTAGTCGGCTTGGCCATTGAAAAATTCTTCAGCGGCGACGACGACGACGAAGTCAATGAACTCCGTGCTGTAAGTTAATATATGAACAATTATTGTTTACTTTTGACCCGTTGCCCTCGCAGGATATGTGCGAGTTCATATTCGTGAAATTCGACACTGACAAAGATGGCGTCATTTCGTTTGAAGAGTATTCCGAAATTGTCCAGCATCAACCCGGTCTGCTTGAGTTTTTGGGAAAGATATTTCCCGATGATAAAGACCGATCATTGGTTGCATACTGTCATAATATTGAGTCGATGTTTCCGCCAGAAGACTAACATTAAATAAAGTGGTGTTATTTGTGCGAAAAACTTGTTGTATTTGCATAATTTTATACCTTTTTCAACCTGCTTAGAGGAGATTCCATAAAATAGCGCAAGTGTTGAAAATTGGCGCTCAGAGGCTTTCAAACCGGCTTACAATAAAGTCATTTTCCATTAAGTACATACTGGGAAAAGTTGAAATTGCCTCCGCAGACTGCGAATGCGACTGCGGGTTCTTCTGTTCTATTTTTTTGCGCCGAAATCTGTGTCTTGTGTTCATGTTCAACTCCCTTCGAAGCGCTTTCGATGTTCTGTAGGCGGTGCGGGAACTTTTGTTTGTCTATTTTGCGGCTTTGTAGAGCAATTAAATTTGCGCAACATATGCGGGCTCCAGAGACAAAACAAGGACGCCTTTCAGAAGCAGCAAAATTCTAATTAAGTTTCAAAAATTATGTGTATGGAGGTTGGAGATGAATTGGAACGATTTCATGCGTTGGCTGGCAACAAAGTAATTTTTTAGGGAAAGAATCATATTTTTTATACAAAATTTATGACCGACTTTAAATTAAAATTTGTCTTTGGTCTTTTCTTTTATAACATGATTGCTTAAAATAGTAAGAACACCATTATTACAATTTAAAGGGGTTTAAGGACAAAATGTAAAACCAAGAGAACCTTTCCAAAATACCCATAACAATAGAACAATCAAGAGAGCAATTTTTTTTAAATATCCCAATAAATATATTATATATAAAAGATTCGCTTTTAAAGACGTTACTTTTCGAGGTCTTGTATTTCTTGTCAGCTGTAATTATGTGGCAGGTATGGAAACGCTAAGAGAAATGTTCTGCGATTGCTTTTCCTTGGCATTGTAGCTGTCACTTCTGTTCATCAATCAATCGCTGTGAGTGCGACAGGGCGTATGGGTAACATCGAAATCGAAAGTGGAGAACCGAAAGTTGGCCATCAAGTTGTGTGGGGCAATCAGCGAGATGCCAGCAATCGGATTGCCAGCGACAACAATTTGGTGACCCAGAGTCATTGACACGCCTCGTTTTCGGGGGCATTGGCTGGGCATTAAATTCAGCGCGTGACTTTCACCCCAGACATTTGTTGCTGGCCCGCCCCGAAAAATCCCGCACGAGCCCCGTCCAGGATAATGAAAAAGGGATCCGAAAAGGCTCAGCAGAAAGCATGAAAAGTGACCGCGACATCCAGCTGGCAGCTGACCCACTCCCCCTTTTTGTTTTGGCCGGAGTTCAGAGTTCGTCACGACTTTGCCACTTTGCTGCAAAAGGGTCCTTGGCTTGTTGTCCTTTTTTCAGCATTAACACGCGGCCTCCTGTTGCATTTCAGTTAAAACGTCGAGGGCACACCACACTCTACCCCATTTCAAGGCTCCTTTTTTCCTTCGCTTTGTGGCTCGAGTGGGTTCTCCATGAAAAACAAAGCCATGAAGCAAAAACGCAAAGGGGCAGCAACAAATTGGGTAAAAAACAAACATGCTCCCCACATTTGTATTCCTGAACGATGTATCCTGCTGTTATCCTTTCGCGTTCGTCAGTCCATTTATCGCAGCCAAACTTTTGACGGGCAACGGTTGGGTTTCCTCCGCATTTTTTTGCTGCCTGCAGTAAATCTTGCGGTGCAACCGGCTGGCATTTTTATGAAGTTATACCGCAAGCCCATCTGCAGCCCTCCCTCTGCATTAACACATGCCAGATGAAAATGTGCATTTTCCAAATGAAATGACCGCGAGTGTGTGGGTGCAAGCGGAAATTTGGGGGGAAAAAATTGATACTTTTTAACATCCGATTGAACCTTCGCCAGACTCGTAACAAACATGATTAACCACAGCTATTACGGCATCAATTTGTATTTTTTCCGTGCGGTATGGAATCCAGAAATGTTTCATATGAAAGCGATTTACAGAATCCAGGTAAGTAAATGACAAAAACTCTTCTCATATTTAACTGCTTATATTCTGGTCAACAGGATAAGCCAAAATCATTTATTTCCAATACCAACACTTTGAACACTTCATTTGAATAATGTGATGTGTTTTAAATATGTTTGTGAAGAATGTGAATTACCATGTATCTCTCAACTATTTATCTTAACTCGTTAGAAGCCAAAATAAAGAAATTTACCCGTTTTTGGTCACAAACCTTTAAATTAGCTTCGTGTTTTATTTTGCATTAGCAATTCGAAACGAAAACAAACCATTCAAACAGAAAGATAAAAATCATAATGCAAACAAATTGCCTTTTTAGAATTCAAAGTGCCGACGGGGCGAGAGATCTAATGCGTTTATGCCTCGGGCGAATCTGCTTGAAAGGAAGAGGAAAATGCGCATTCTGCCTTTGCTTTTTACGATAACGATAACAATGATAATAATAATCCGATTCCCATAACGTCAGGCAATCGAGAGGTGGGGCGCAGGAATGTCGAGGCAAAGTGCCAGGCGACCTGGAATCGGTTTGATTGTCACATTGTCATCATCTGCATATTAAGTACAAGTGATTACACCCTCGCACTCGGCAGATACAGATACATGTAGAGGTACAGATACAGATACAGGTGAGCACATGTCCCCAGTTCCGGGATGTTGATGTGTGCAGCATTGAAAATTCGGCATTTAAATCCAGCCAAGCAGCAGGGAATAAGAAAAACTCCAAGCACATTGCGCGCTCGGAACACAAAAGCCAAGTATCTACGAGATACATATGTATCTTTTGTTAACGAGCACGAATCGGAGCAAATGTAAATGTTTTCCAATGTGTCGGGGGCAGGATCCAAACACGTTTGACACGGCGGCAAGGAGAAATCAAATCAAATCGCTTTTTGGGTGAGAAAGAAGAACGGAAACGGAATCCATTTCAGGCACGTGAAGTCGTTTGATTATCCTGGTCTTTGTGCTAATGATAGAGTGGCGAATCTTTAAGAAAGTGCCGCTCCATTGTTGTGCTGAATTGTATACTATATTGTACCAATACCCCCATAATCTCTCACGTGGCACTGAGGAGGAAAAACTCATTTGGCGCAACACAAGCTCCAATTAAGTATGACCAACTTCCACAAATGACTCTACTGCACTCGACCTGGGGCTGCAAATATACTGCAGAGGTCAAGATAATATGCTCTATTTTATTTAAAAGTATAAGCCTACAACTATTTATTTCTTGATTTGAATTTTATGACTAAATTGTTTGGGTCAAGAAATGCATTAAACTCCGGTATAATTTATGGTACTAACTTATAAATTAAGCGAGAGTAATATTTTCGGGTTGCTAGACTATAAATTTCACTTACATGCATGTAAGTTTTGTTGGCTTAGTTCGTGTGAGCATTTGAACAGTTCAAATTGTTGCTATTATCTTGACCCCAGCTGTCTGTACATTGTTTCGTTTTCTTTGTCTCTGGCCCGGAATTAAAACTAAGCACTTCGGAGCACACAACTGGCATAAACAAAAGTCAGACAATTGGGAGTGCCTCGAGCTGGAAAAGGAAGTTCGGAGGAGCCGGAAGCGGGAAAGCTGCAAACAGACTTTGGCTACAGAAAACTCGTACTTGAAAAATCGTAAAATTGAAATTATAATTGCCACTGCAACTGATTCGAGGCGCTCCTTCGCTGCTGTCTGCTGCCAAAGATGCTCTAATTACGCCCCTAAGTGGCTGGAATCATTAAAACGCTTGTCAAATAATAATTGCCCGCAAACAATTCATTTCGCCAGCGGTTCCTAAATTGTGGTGTTTTAGAGTACCCTTTGAAGTAAATGCGGGCCCGCCACCTTTTTCGGTGAACTCCAAAAGACTTGAGCCACTAACCGACTTCAGTTGGCAGTTGGCTATGGCGAAGTGCATGTGGCGTGCCGGATGTTGTGACAGTGCCAAAAATATTCCCACATTTCCCCGCAGACCCCAGAAGGGATAAAACTCAACCCTGGCCCTGCGGCACTTTTGGTGCTCCACATAACATAGCATGGCGTTCATTTTTTGTTATCCGAATTTGGATTCGGTCAGTTGTTCTACTTCGCTTTTGTGCGCTGACATTTTTGCTAAATATTCAAAAAGTTTTCCCGCTTTGGCGTCTCCCCCGATTCTGTTGTCGGGCGGATTTTAAAACCATATCCGAATGTTTGTTATACACACCGTTCTTTTTCAGGGTACAAATCAGGCTGATGGCTTTCTGGTTTCCGTTCGATAGTTTCGGGCGACAGCAACACACGTCGCCAGGACACCCGACAATCGTTAGCCCGGAGTTTAGTTTTAAACTGCGTTACGCAGGCAAATCTACGTGGGTCAGCAAATGGAATGTGAATTTAATCTGTCCAATGGCAGCACGGCTCAACTTTCAATTGTTGCCGTGGGGCAGCTTAAATGCTCCACTTAAATAGCCAGTAATCTGAAAGTTTCGATACATAACTACACGTACTTAAGTAACCAAAGTTACATGGGGGCTTAAAAACAAAAATGATTTTACTTTCCTTATGTAATATTGCATATTGAACTAACTATGTTATATACATGCACATTGTACAAAATACCTGGTCAAATTATCCTATGAAATATATCCTTAGTTTTTCAATTTCAGTCCTTGTTTGGTCTCAATTTTTATGATATGAAAAAGGCTGCCATTAAATAATAGGAGTGTAAACAGCTTGAGCTTGAAATTGATTACATTTTGCTTTAGAAAAGTTTCAACTTTAAGTCGAGGAGTGAATATAAATATACTGTTTATAAAACTTCAACTTTACTCAGTCCACTAACTTCAATTTATTCTCTGAAATTATCTGACCTTAAAAGCTTAACTCTTGATAGTAAATAAATACTTTAAGTGTACTTTGGATGACTGAAGCACAAAGTTTCCGCAAGATGGCATTGCTTTTAGCTACAGACACAGTTTTGTTGTTGCATTTCAACATGGTAATATCTTTCAGTATCCCATCTCCTCATGTGTGGCCATCCATTTCGCATTTCGGAGTTATCGGAAATGCAGCAACACTTCAGATTTCAAATTATTTTTAAGTACCCAAGAACTGTGAATT